TTTGCTAGATGTTGCCTATAATAATGCAGTTTTTGCAGATTTTTTTATTTTATAATCAAAAACAGATCTCTTTAGATTGTTTGGGTCTTTTGGTAAGAGGTTGAGTTGAATGAAATATGTTTCTGATAGCTAAGGAAATGTGTATACTTGTCTTAGTGCTGCTAAGATTGCTCTTAGTTTGGTTCTATTTTTTATAGGTAATGAAAATAAAAGAATGTTTATTATTTTTGATAGAATTTTGTTTGGTATATCTGATAATGAGAGTAGTGTATTGTCTATTGCAGTATTTACAATTCTTTGCATTTCTTCTCTACTAAGTTTGTTTTTTATATGCATAAATCTGAGACAGTAGTTTATAAGTTTGAAAATTTCTTGAGGTTTTTTGGTAATCTTGTAATTAGTTAGATATTGTATTGCAAGTTTTTGCTTTAGTCTTTGATATATTTGTTCTCTAATTTCTTTATTTGTCATAGCTATATTGTGCTTTTCTTTATAATTTTCTATTGCATTGTCTTGTAGCTGTTAGAATTCTATCTGATAAGCAGGCATTTGTTTTTTGATTTTTGTAAATGTCTAGAAGAAATTTGTATCTAGATATTTGAACTTTAGAGCAATTGACTTTGGAATATCATATTGAGTTGGTATTGTTTTAAGTTTGTATATAATAAATTCTATCATTTTATCTTTATTTTGCAGAACATCTAGAATTTTTTCATAGCTCTATTTTTCTACATCAAATTGAGTATCTATATATAGCACAATTCTTTCTGTAATTTGTTCTATCCATTGTGTTTTGTCTTCTTTGAATGTTTGTTGTGGTATTGTATATGAATAGATTTTTTGAGTATACTATTGTAAGATGGTATTTTCTTTTCTTTATTATTGTTTGGAGTTACTTCAGATTGATTGTTATTTGTTTGGTCTATATCCATTGAATCATCTGATTTAGATTTGCTGTGGTCTGTTTGTATTGTTTGCTCTTTTTTATTTATGATGAGCTTACTTTTTATATTTGTAGGAGCAAGTAGTAAGTTGTTAGAGGTTCCTGTAGGTATATTATCTGGTTGATTTGATACTGTACAGTTATGTTTTCTTCTTTTGTATAGACTTTTATTAGCCTTACTGTCCTGTTTGCTGTCTTCTGGTTCTGGTAAGATCATTTTTGGCACTTCTAGAGTAGATTCTCTAGAGCTATGCATAAGTGTTATAATGCTTGTAATACTTGTTGTGTTAACAGGTGTTATTGTTTTTCTTTTCTGTTATATGTTAGTGATGTGTTCTCTAGTTGTTGATTGTAAACTAATTTAATTATTGTAGGTTAAATATTGTATTATTAGTTTTATAAACTCTTTGCCATTGTTTTGTTGTTTGCTTACTGAAATTTTTTTTATTAATATAATTAATCAGTAATATATTTATATATAAAATATATAAAATTATGTACTTTATATATATATAAATATATAAAATTATGTACTTTCTTAGATGTACAGATTGAAATTCTTTTTTTTTGCAAAAAATCTTGATGCCAATTGACTTTTTCCTATCTTAGTAACAAAATTACAGAGCCATTTTTTATATTATACTGTATATAGAGAAAAAATTCTTTTCTAACTTATTTTATGTGTACTGTATTTGTTGTTTGGATAATCTGGACAAAATTTAAGCTTTTGGTAAAATTTTTTTAAACAAATATAAAATTTGTCTCTGTAATTTATATTGCAGAGACCTTCTATCGATCTATTCAAAGCTTGAGATTCTAATTTTGGTTATGAGAACCCTGCATCTAAATCTTTACCACAAAAAAATTTTATAGCAAAATTTTATATTATACCATATATAGTTTTGATTTATTTAGCTGACAGACAGCCCTAATACATAGTATATGTAAATTTTTAATGTGCATGAAAAATTCTGTGCATAGAAAATTTTAAAATAAACTAGTAATTTGAATAACTATTGCTAATCTATCTAATTTATCCAACCTATCTGCATTTCAGAATGAAATAACTACTCTAGTAGTATTAACCAATTTTCACTAATTAATAATCAAAACAATAAACATATGCAATTTTTTAAAATTATAAAATACTATATTAGAGTCAGGTTTACAATTATAATAAGGCTTGTTATATATTAAAATTTTGCAAAAAAATTTTTTTTACTAGTGCATAGAAGAAAGTTATATGCTGTATATGAAATTTTGAATTATATATGATTTTATATTATATCTAATCTTTTAATCTAATTGGTTAATTTAATACTGATCAGTGAAAATTCATTAGTATACAATTAGAAAAATTTTTATTTTTATTACACAAAGGGTGATCTGCATATTACATCTGATCTTAAATTTTAATTGGTCACAATATCCTAGCACCATAGTTAGATAGGGTGGAATAGTGTTCTGAGTTAGTAAATATTTTACCAATTGATTAGTTACCAATTATAGTTGCAACTAATTGATTGTTTATATTACATAGCATCATCAGATAATTAGCTAATCAAACCAAAGAAATTAATTTGAATCTGCTCAACTATATAGAATTTTTTAGAATTATACTAGTTGAATAATTAATCTATTAGTTGTTTAAAATTTTTTTTCAAATCGACTAGTTAGAAAGTTAGCAACTAGTTGATTTTCAACTAACAATTTAGAACATTAGATTGAAGCATGGATATGAAGCATACTTTTTGGGCATGTCCTTAGGCTAAATAATATACTTCTATTATGTGATATTAATATTAAATTACATAGTAATGTAATATGCTGATTGAATATAACTTTGCACATACTGATCTTTTTTTTTTTTTTTAATGTTAAGGTGACTACTTTGGGGTTTGGCACGTTTTATTGAACTTTGATTCGAATATCAGAGCAACCACATGGGCTACCCCTGACTTTGTTACATTAACGAGGGTACAACTAGCCAAATATACAACTTTTAGTTGTCTATTTAAGCAGTCTTGCATATGTAATCTGTATGAACTACACTAGATACTATACCTATAACCCAACTAAGGGGATTATCTATTTAAACCCTCTGATCAACTTAGCGCTGTCGGATATTTTCCTCAAAGAGTGACTGCCGGGAAGGCCCCTTAGGACTTTAAAGCAGACACACACTTCCATATAGGGGGTTCTTTATCTTTGTGGTAAACCTACCAGAGTGGTCCATGTCCCACACATGTATCACTTAGATTTTCGATAATTTACGCCTAGGCCATGGCCAAATACTTGCGGCTTTTTATCTTCACTACCATTACCTACTCTGTGCCCTTGCAAAGTTCACTCAAACTCCAGTACACACTTTACAGACTATTAACAGTACTTTGATGCCAACTAACGGTGCCTCAAACTCCTAATCCAGATGGCTCGGGAGGGACCAGTGGGCATCCCCTGGTATTCTGAATGAATCCTTTTTCTTCCAGCTGGTCCGGCGGCCTGGTTGGTGTAGTGCTTTTACCAAACACTTGGTCCTCATTCAGTTTACTTGCTAGTGTCCGGTTCCCAGATGATAATTCTTTACGTAGTACCGTTGAAGATCTATGCTACCTCTCTACTCAGGACTTCCCAAGTGGGCTTCCGTATCCCCCGATCCCTTGAATTAATTTGGCTGCTTCCCTTGTGTAACTTATACATTATACTACATTCCACAACCTCCCAATACGAGTTGGTGAGACCAAGATTACAGGTGCTTACTCAATCAAT